CCTGGGCGGCCGCCGCCGGCGCGCGCGCACCCTCCCTCCGCTCCCTCCGCCCCACGCTCCTCCCGCCGCAGCCTCTTCTCCTCCCCCGCCTGTCCTTGGCCCCCTCCTCTCTTGGCGAGAGCCCCACGACCCTGCTCTAGGTGCGCTCCTGTTGTGGGCGCTGCAGACACAGGGACGAGCCAGGCTAGGCCCTGGCTCCCTTGTTTTCCCTCGGAGGTAGCAAGCAGGTGAGAGAAGGAAGGATGTGGCGGAGAGCTGGGCTCGAGGGATGGTGACGTTCCAGACGCCCAGACCAGTGCAGTGAACGCGAGGAGCGCGGGAAGACTGAAAGCATTGGCGGGGAGAAGCTAGGGGTGTGGGGCAGGACCTCTCCACCTGTCATGGCTTCAGATCGGACAAGTAGTTGCTTTCTTCGGCCATGTGCATCTGTGACATTTAGACACTGTGTGATCCTGGGCAGAGATGTGAGGCAGATGTCTTGGCTCTGACGCCCAGACTGTTATTCACATTCAGCCTTCTCCACTGGCCCAGGCAGAGAAGCAGGTCAGGGGCCTTGTGGGCATGGTAAGGTAATCCTTGCTGCGGAGAAAGGCAGGGGCTGTGGAGGCCCAGAGGAAGGATGTGTCATCCCTGCCACCAGAGGCCGCACAACATCTAGGCCCTCTACTTGGGCCCCGCTAGCCTATGCACAAAGAAGGCTGTGCAGCCCCACCTCCCCTACAGAGCAGAGCTTAGACTAGATTTCAGCCACCTGCTGGTGAGCCTGGCCCAACCTTCAGAGGGTGAGATTCTTGGGCTTTAGTGGTAAACCAGGCTCACTGACGGTGCCAAGGCCCAGTGTTAAATAGACCCCCTCTCTTTTAATAATAAATTAAAAAGGTAGAAGCTGTGATGCCTAGGCCAGGAAAGCCGGGAGTCAGCAGCTTTCTCGGGCTTATATCCTCCCCACAAAGGGTAACCGATGACAATGGCTATGGGGGTCACCCCACCAGAGACCTAGGGAGACCATAAGGTACTCCGGCCATCATCCCTTGATCATGTTCAGGCCCCATGCTGGGTCTGGAAGTTCCGGCCACAGTGAGGTCCCTTCTGTCGCCTTCATCAACAGAAGATAAGAAAATGTAACAAAAACTCATGTAGCATGTGCTGTGTGTGTAAGGCTCTGTTCAAGGCTCAAGGCTGCAGAATGGTAAATAAGGTCCCTCCTCGATCCCCTGATGCTTACATATTAATGAGAAGAGAGAAATACAGAAGCAAAAAACAGTTAGTTTGGATCATCATAATTGCTATGAAAAAATAAACAACATGAGAACGTGGGGATCATTTAGAGAAGCTGATCCCATCAGAGGAGGTGACATTTCACTGACAGCAAGGAGCCTGACCACCTGAAGGTCAAGCAGAAGGCCATTCTTGGCAGAGAGAGGAGCAATGAGAAGCAGCATGGTAAGCTGGAACCTAGTGATAGGGAGAAATGAGCGCAGCAGGGGAGGCTTTGGGGGAGTCAGCAAGGCCCAATCACAGGATGGCTTTTGTAGAGTTTGGATTTTGTACCAAGCACAATGATACCTACTGTGACACCCTTGGAAGTTAGGATTGAGCCCCTCCTGAAGCCTCAATTCACCCATCCAGCCTCACCTCCCTTCTACTCTGCACTTGGGGAAGCCAGTCCCATTATCAGGCCTCTATCTCTCATGGGTGAGATGACAGGAAACTGGGAGTCTTAGAGGTTCCTTCTAGTGCCGGGATTTTTGCATGAGGTAAAGTTCAGAGGCAGAAGGTAATTGGCCTTGGGTCTGACTGCTGGGTCTGAGCCTGCCTCGTCCCTCCCTGACCATATGAACTTAGGAGACTCCACTGCTGTGGTCCATGCTCTGCAGGTAAAAGACAGGGCGGAGTGGGAGCGCAGTACCCACCACACGGGCTGCTGTGAGGTCTCGCTTAGAAGAAGTTGTGTGAGAGCCATGCACAGAGCATGGTAGATGCTGAATGAACATTAGTTAGTATTACTATTATTCAAACAGCCTCCTCAAAAACCTCTGATTGTGGGGAGGAGGGGAGGGAACTGGGATTGACATGTAAAAGAAGCTTATTTCGAATTTAATACAAAACAAAAAAACCTCTGATTGCTTCCCAAACCTCAAAGAATATAAATTGCCCAGCCCAGAGATATAGCTCAGTGTGTAGACTTGTAATTTGAGCTACTTGGGAGGCTGGGGTAGGAGAAACACAAGTTCAAGGCCTGTGTGGGCTAAGAGATAGTTCAGGGCCAGTTCTGGAGGCCCCCACAGCAGGCCTCCTGAGTAACCAGAGGCCCAGTTCCTCTCCACATATTCTGCTGTTCCTCACTCTGCCCCTAAGAACTCAGCTTCATGCCTTTTCCTCCTTGGACCCTCTGCCTGGAACATTCACCTCGACTGGTATCTATCCGTCCTCGGGCCTCTGCTCTCATAGCCTCCTCTGGGGGTCCTCTGCTCCCCCAAGCTCCCATGGCCCTGTGTGTCAGTCTCTCTGAATGCCACTGGATACACTCCTGTGCAGAGGCTCAGATCAGAAGGGCTTCCCAATCCCTGCTTTGCCTCCACTGGTGGCTTATTAAAGGTGGTGTGGCCTCAGACATTTGCCCCAGGACCGGGAAGCCTGCTCTCCTGGCTGACTCTGGGCTGTGGGTAGAAAAGGCGTAGATAATAAGACCCCATTCCTGCCCTTGAGGCTTTGAAGAGACAGTGATGTCACAAGAGGATAAGCACCCCTTAGAGTAGGCTGCTCATGGACATTAAGTTCCCACCTCTCTTCTCAGGCCTGTGTCACTCACTCACACAACCCAGGTTGGAGACCAAGGGCCCAGAAAGCTGCAGAGCTTGGACTCTCTCACTGTCTCCTCCCTTCGCTTTACAGACGGGCAGCACATTCTCCCTTGCTATACTGTGGGCCTGTTGCCTATCGCTCCTTGTCAGTGTCTTGTAAAAGAGATGTTCTAATTCATGAGTTAGATCACTTGGTATCTATGTGACTTCAGGGAAGTTACTTGAACTCTCTTTGAGTTGGCTTTCTCATCTATAAAGTGGGAACATGGCCCTGTGAGGCAGCTCAGTGGGTAAAGGTGCTTGACACAGAGCCTGGTCACCTGACTGTCATCCCTGGGGCTCACATAGTAGGAGACAAATGGCTTCCTTAAGTCATCCCTTGACTTCCACATGTGTGCCATGGGACACACACATGGGTACACACACACACACACACACACACACACACACACACACACACACACACACTGTAATAAACATTTTGATAAATAAAGTAGGAATGGAAGCAGCCATGGTGGCTTATGCCTGTAATCTCAGTACTTGGGAGGATGAAACAAGAGGGTCACCCAAGTGTGGCTATAGAAAGATCCTGTCTCAAAATAAAAATGAAAAGGGGACTACCTCTATCCGGGCAGTGGTGGCTCAGGCTTTTAATCCCAGCACTCGGGAGGCAGCGGCTGGTGGATCTCAAGCCAGACAGTTTTACATAAGGAGTTCCAGGACAGCCAGGGCTGTATAGAGAGACCCTGTTTCAAAAAACAAACCCAACAACAAAAAGACAGTATGGGTTTGAGGTAGGAATTGGGGAGCAGCTCAGATGGGAGCTATGTGGCCCTCCAAGGCTTACCTGGGCTGGAGGCAGGAGGATGGCTTCCTTGTGTGGGTTCATGCTACAGGGCATGCAAGAGGACTCAGGTTTTCACACGTCTCCCTGAGACTGCTTGAGTGTCCTCATGGCATGTCAACCGGCTTCCCAGGGCAGCTGATCCCCTTGAGATCAAGGGACACGGTATTCTTTAAATTTCATTCAATTTACTCTTTAATTAGTACACAAAGTAATAGGCTTCCTTGTGGTGTTTTCACACATGCTTAGTTTGGTTGATCCTGCACATATATTCAAATCAGAAGCTAGGATCCCCGTATGAGGGAACAGGAGGTGTTTGTCTCTCTGGGTTACCTCACTTGAGACCTCTCAGTCTCATTCTTTTTCCTGCAAATACCATCATTTCGTTTCTCGTGTGTGTGTGTGTGTGTGTGTGTGTGTGTGTGTGTGTGTGTAGGTACATGTTTCCATGCACATGTGTGCAGATGCGTGTGAAGGCCAGAGGACTCCTCCCACAGACATTCTTTAGATGCCGCCATATTGACATGGTTCTTTTCCTGGGTAGGAACTTGCTAATTAGTCTGGCTGTCCAGAGAGCCCTAGGGATCCCCCATTTCAGCTGATTCAAGCATATGGGATTACAAGCACACAACACCATACCTAACTGTTTATATATGGGTACTGGGGATCAAACTCAGGCCTTGTGTTTGCAAGGCAAGCACTTTATCAACTGAACTATTTGCCCAGACCCATAATTTCACTTTTCTATGCAGCTGAATAAAATTCCATGTGTATATCTGTCATATTTTCAAACTGTCAATCAATAAATGGGCCACAGAGCTGAACAGATAGTTTTCAAGGGGACAAGTATAAATATTCAATTAATATTTTAAGACACATTCAACACTTTTAGCCACAAGGGAAATGTAAACTGAAACTACTTTGCAACTCTCACCCTAGTCAGACTGGCTATCATCAAGAAAACAAATGACAACAAAGCTGATGAGGGTATGTGAAAAGAGGAAGCCTTACTCACTAATGGTGAGAGTGGAAATCAGTGTACAAGGCTCTCAAAGAATGAAAAATGGCTCTCTCGTGGCCTAGCTCTATAACGCAATACAGTGTCATTTCTGACCTAAGTGTGGATGTCACACCATCATTGCTGTGATGTTCGGGTGATTGCACGGATCAGCCTGTTCATATGGGAGGGAACACAGGCATTCGACCACCAGGAGGCAAAGATCCTGGGGAATGTCTTGCAGGCTGGTTGCCACATCATCTCCTAGGGCGTGTGAGCTCAGGTTAACATAGCTGAAGCTCTTCAGAGGGCTTCAGCACACACAGTGTATGAGTGGCTGCTCTCATTACTGCTGTGGTCACTGCTCCTATCACAGGACCCTGAGCAACCACCATTTACACAATTACCGTCGACTGTGGGGCCTTTTGTAGAAACAAAGACACTCAGCAGCTGAGAGATGAGCTTGGTCCAAGAGTCACAGAAGAGGAGGATAAGCCCAGCCTCTATCTCGTGCTCCTCAGCCAGGTGCTGTCAGGAGACAGCTGGGGACACCACTCCTCCTCCATCGCCTCTGTCAATACTGGGTAGATCCCTCTCTGTCTCCGGTCTGTAGCCCTGTCCCTAACCCCTGGGGGTTGGATTAGGTCAACATTTCCTGTGTCCTCTGTCATACCCTTCCCAGTTAAATGAAGTTTCCCATTTCCAGGAGTCTTCTCAACTATCCTCCTCCTACGTCA